CCAGGAACCCCAGGGGATCGAATAGGCGACCGATATCGGACAGTACCATTCGCTTCGTCGACGACGTATGTTCACTGATCGGCTGGACGAAGAATGCAAAATAATCCTCAAGCGGGTTCCAAATCCAACCCAGTGCCCTTATCGTGTTGTTGATTCCAGTATCCTCAAAACTAACGAACTTCTCTTGCAGCTCCTCTGGTATTGCCTTCAGTACTTCGGGATTGTTTGAACAAAACTTGTGGACGCCAAATCCTCCACGTTGCAACAGCGATGTTAGCTCGCGATAGATCTTCAACACCTCCTCCGCAGACTTTCCACCAGTTAGGAAATCGTCGATGTAACTGTCGTACCGGATCACTTGTTCAGCTAACGGGAAATCCTTGCATTCGTCCGTTGCCAACTGAATTAGCGCTTTTGTAGCATGATGCGGTGAGCTAGCCACCCCGTACGTCACTGTTTTCAATTCGTACACCTTGCGTACGCCGTTTTTATCCACTCACACTATTTTCTGGAACTTGCGGTCGTTCTTGCTCAGCCAAACCTGGCGATACATTTTAGGCACGTCTGCCGTTAATACCACCGGATGCGCGCAGAACCGAAGAATGATTGTCTGCAGATCGCTTTGGACTGTCGGTCCCACACAAACCGTGTCGTTCAGGGAAACTCCTGATGTCGTGCTGGCCGAGGCATCAAATACCACGCGAACCTTTGTTGTGGAACTCGTGCTGTTGCACGTACACCGGCGGTTGCGGTACAGCAACCTGGTTTTGGCTTGTCGCTGAGGAAGCTGCATCGATCTTCGTGTTTAGACAAATATACAGCTGATTGTGCAGCTCCTCGAAAGTAGCGTACTCTATCCGTTGCTCAGCACGTTCATCCCTAGGAAGTATGGCACAAATATCCGCATTTATCCTCTCGTAGTCGTCAGCACACCTACGAAGTGTTTCCAACTGGAGCTGGAGCAAATGAATGTTGACATTCTCTGTCCGCAGCGTCTCGTTCATCCGCAACAGCTTGTCAACCAGCATACCGCGCCGATCGTATAGCACTTCCAGATTTTTCTCCATGATGATATTCTCTTCTTTCTTCTTCTTCGCCGTTTTCTGATCGGCAACCGACTGCAGTAGATTTTTGCTGCTGCTCCCCGTTAGAGCATCCAAAATATTCCGGCGAGATACTCCCGAAACGTTTCCACGCGGAGTTTCCGAATGGGACATTCACGTACTGTTTGTTTTTCCGACGGCAATATGAATTGCACCAACGCACTGTTTATTTTCTTTTTGTTTGCAGGTTCTATTATTGTCTACATCGTTCGATTGCGACGATGTTTTCACTAGCCAACAAAATGGCGATTTTGTTCTCGCAAAACGTGCTCACACGGTTTCGATTTGGTTTTCAGCCAAAATGGCGTCACTTTTCTTCGTGCCTCGGACACACACTGTTACTTGTGGCGTAGCCTTGGGCCACTTTCCACCGTTCTTCTTGACCTTGCACCTAATTTCGACGTGTCACGGACACTCGCTCTCACTAGTGGCGTAGCCTTGCGCTCAGCACCACTGTTATTCTTCTCGGTCTCGGACCGATTTCACCTGTGCCACGGGCACACACTCGCTGTAGCCTTGGGCCGAATTCAGCACACGGTGCTAAACAACACTTTTCCGAACCGCTCGATCGCGAGGACCATCACTATTCCTCCGGTCATCCGGGAGAATGGACCAAAATGTTCCACGATAGCTCACTGGTTCAAAATACGATTTCGGAATGTGATGGTTTTCGCGAGAGAAACACTCGAATGCGTCCGTCGTATACAATGTTCAGTTTATTTCTGTTGTTCGTTTCGTACAGTGCTGCCAGTTTAGTTTAGAGAATAAAATATGATTATTTTTAGTGGCAAATATTAATTAAAGAGGTTTCGTTATCTCACAACCGTTCACGTATATTACATGAAAATTTGTCTGACGTGTCACTGTTGTCGTCAAATAAAATAATATGCGGAAATACATACATTTGAAATATTATGCAAATTTTCAATTGGTTTACCCCTTGGGAAGATAAATAAATACAGTGGTAGCCTTTTTGACCACATAGGCGCTTTCATCGCTGAAAATTCGGTTCGCCAGCTAAGCGAAAGAGTGGATCATATTGTTAATATAATATATTTGATTTAGTGATATATCGTGTTTTGCCTGTGTTTGCCTTGAGTGGCTCGGTTGAACTTGAATCTAAACTCCAAAATATACAACGCAGATTCAGTTTCATTGTTCGGTGTCGATTTTTATTGCCTCCCGGGAGCCCGGGTCTACGAGTTCGGATGCTACACTTTCGGCGTGTAGTTCTATTGAGAGATCGGTCCGGTTGGTGAATTAAACCGGGAACGTGTTGATAATGTGTCCGTCGCGAGTTTTGGTGGTGATTCGGTGGCCGACGTTGCCGTGAATCAGCAAGTTTTCCGCTTGCAAAAGTACTCGGCTGGTGGTCTCTCGCCGGTGTCGGAGATTGCGAGCAATATGAAAGCTGCCTCGTTGAATACGCCCAACACTGGACGGGTGGCAGTTGGTGGCCGCGAACTGTTCCTGGGGAAAGCACTACACGCGAACCTCCTTTCAGATGACCATGACAATGCAAGAAAATGTGTGTTCGTTAAAGGAAGTATTACGACAAATGTGCATCACGAAATGAGATGCAAAGCTTAGAGAAAATCAAAATTACGGAACCCATGGATTGGAGGATCAAATTAACATGGTGAGACCAGTCCAAATACATTTTACAATTAAAAAAAAACATAAACTAAATACGTGCCAGGTTTGAAAAGAATATTTTCGAACCTGGAAGCGTGTATGTAAGACTAATATCCATTTGATAACGGTGATGCATACATGCGGGGCTTATTGTAAGTGAAAGTAACCTCGGAATGGGCGTGACTCTCCAGACATTCTGAAATGGGTTGCTGGATCTGCAATAGAGCTATCACCTTCTAACTCCCGGACTAAAGCTGTCTACAATGACCATAAATGCGACATTTTAGAGAGAAAGTTTTTCCATAATAACACTGCCGACGGGGGGGTTAGAGGGAATACACACACACACACACTTGATGTTCGGGAAAATGCAAAAACTTTTCTTAGAAAATTAACCACCCTGAATTTTTTGAAACTTTAGTTTGGTCATACTTTTGGGCAACATTTAATAAAATTCAGAGACCCTTCGACCCAAACCTGTCCGATAATTGAAAAAAACAAATTCCAATTTGAAATGCAAAATTAGATGCGTTTATGTTCCCCCGGATACAACGTTCTTTTTCTGTGACTTTATTACGACCCCACTGGGACTTTACGCCGGCGCTGAACTTAGTATTCTTTGAGCACTTCCACAGCTGTTAATTGAGAGCTTCTAAGCCTGTTCCATGTTTACATTAGAACAAGCAACTTTGCAAGAGTCGATTATTTCGAACAAAACCTTTCATAAGTTAATTTGATAGGTTTTATGTATTAGCTGTAATGTATTTACATCATAAAACTACATATTTATGATAAATTTATGTTCACCGGTGAACACATTCAAAAAATAATTACTCTTGAAAGTGACAGCGGGTCACCTCACCTCACTCGTGGCTCAGAAGAAGCGAGCTTAGTTCAAACGAAGAAAAACTAGTGAACTTATTTTTTTTTTCCATCTGATATGGAGAGCGATGCATGGATGATGTATGGAAATCTGAATGGACTGCCAAAATTAACAAGATAAGGAGAAATGTCGAGATATAGAGCATCGAAACTTGAAGCACAGACAAACAGACATAACACATTGAATATTTTTCAATACAAAACATCTTCGCTAAAACACTTTCGCTATCTGTTGAGTCTACAGTGATGGGTAGTATGCTGAACAGATGGCGGTAGTGTGTATACGTCAAGTGCAAGGGTTATTGACTATGTGCGCCACAGGTGGCGATACTACCAACTAAAAACATTTAAATTGATTGTTAAATGCGTGTTCGATGAACAAATTGCCAGAGTTTTGTCTGATTGTCTGTGCTTGAAGTATTGACTGTATAAAATTCACCCTTCTTTAGATCACGTGCTGTACTTATATTTGTCTTAATGTCGGGGTAATGACCATTCGTGGTAGTGGCATTGGGGGTAATGTCATAGAGCGAATTTGGTTTTGATTCAGTTCCAACCTGGATCGGGTATCAGGATTTTGTCTGCTTGTTGTCTGTAAAACGTCAGTGTGAACGTTTGTTTTTGTAATCTGGCTTGGATTGAGGTTCACACTGACAATAAGCTCGGGTTTGCACGGGTTGGAACTGGTTTCAACCTGGATAATAAACAAATTGGCCAATAGAGTCGCAAAATACATATCAATCGTTAAAGCAATTAATCTGTCCATCATGAATATCATAAGTTGTAGAAGTGTTTAAATCACTATTGAAAAATTGAAGTCAACAATCACGAAATAAATGTTCAAATACAAGAATGTTTATTGAAATTAAAATAATTACAAAAACGCAATAACGTTGTAACACTATCAAATACAATGACGTGATAAAGCACATAATGGGCATCGTGAATATCTCCATTAACTAGTAAACAAGGATAACAATTCACGCAACGTTATCAATGTCCTCTACCTTGCATGGATCGCTAATTCGTCTCCAAACGCCAACGCGGTAACATCGTCGTCATTTATTCCGTTCATCATCAACCAACAGACACTTCCAACCAAAATAAATACCTACAAAAATATTCTTATCATTCGGTCGCGCTATAAGCCATTCAATTCTATACCATATTCCATCCACACATCGCACTATACTGACTGGTCGCACCGAAGTGGTATGAGTTGTGCACGGAAACAACCGGACCGATCCTCTGCGCCTACACAACACACGTTTGTTATTGCCGATCGACATTATTGTATATCAGCGAATCGCTGCTCCACACCGGCCCAGTGACTTCAGTCTGCAAATATCGTTCAACGAGCTTGGCAGCTGGTGACCTGAGTTCGAAGGAGAACTTTTTGGAAGGCAACTTTGAGATTGTTTTGAAAGTATTAGTAAAGGTGATATAAGATGGCTTTCCGAGTGTTTGCGTTCTCCAACAGCCTGAAACAGGCTTCAGCGATCTCCGACCTGTTGGCGAGATCCTTCTGCAGCGGTCCCAAGAATGTCGGATTCATTGGGCTGGGCAATATGGGCGGACCCATGGCCAGCAATCTGATGGCCAAGGTGAGTGTTACGTAATAGGGATACAATCTTGCAAGTCATAACAACCGATATCTAAGTAGAGTTGAATTATAGTCTTTAGTCGTGACGTAGCAGGTCGGCTGCACATGTGTTGATAGAAGGATAGAGAGTTCCAGTAAGATTTGACCTTAGAAACAAAAGGAAGTGTTATATAATTAATTAAAGTAACATTTACTTTATCAGTCTACAATCTATTCTGGTCGAAGCAAATAAATTCATTCTTTAGCCCCCGTTGATAACAAGCCAGTTCTTCGATTCATTTGATTTAAAAACCGGCTTTCAAACATAATAAGCCGATCCATCGTGGGGGCATGGCTGTGGGCTCGTACGTGCACTCTTCCCGCACTCACACTCATGCGTTCCAGAATTATCAAATTTATTACGTAAAAATAATGGCGCTGTGTCTTCTTCCTTGTACACGATTCCGTCGCCGGTGCGCAGCGCAAATCCCGGTTGCTGATGGGGTGATGTTTTTCACCACCACACCTAGTGATAATGGGAGATTTTCAACTGATTTGTAAAAATAAATGTCAAAGGCACGGCGGGACTTATATTCCGTTTGCTTGATGACAACTTTTTAGTTGGAAGCTTTGTGCGTCGTTCGTTTTTAGATATTAACATGTACGCGCGTCAGCCAACGCGACGAATGAACGATAGACGTACGGCCTTGAACTACGTATAGTGAGTTTATTTACAGCATTGCTTCCTTCTACACATGCATCTAAATATATGCGTAACGGGAGCAAGAATGGTTTAGTAAATACACATGGCGAATGAGATCGACTCAAATTTGAGTTTAGTTAACTCATAATCGCCAAAAGTGCAGGAACTCAACGATGAGTAAAATTTGTCTCATGGTTTCCTGTGGAAAACCTAAAAAATCAGCCGGAAAATGAGGAAATTTACGAAAATTTTATTCAGTCTCGGAGTAGTACCAATAGACTGAGTGAATCCAATCTTTACTTTTCTCAAATTCGGGATTTTTTCCCTGGAAAATCCTGGAAAAACCTGGACTTTTGGCGATTATGAGTGAACTAAACTCAAATTTGAGTCGTTCTCATTCGCCGTGCAGTAATGAGCGCTCCTCCACGCTGACTTTTATCTTTCAAAAATTTCACGTAATTCCAAATCTTTCTCTGGATGTTTAGCGCATCGGTTACGTAGAACATCAGAAAAGATTTTCAAAAACGGGGGCTGACAAAATCGGGTCATTAGTGTATTAATTTACGAACAAATTTATGCAGTTTTAATTCAAATTTTAAACAAAATGTTATAACTACTTTGTTATGTCTACACAGAACCAACATAATAAAACATTGTATACGTATGATTTTGTTTAGGTGATTAATCATTTAACGTGCAGTAATCCCACAACTAAACATCAGCTAATATTATTGGCGACTGTTTGCATCAGGATCTTAACCAGGCAAGCAAGCGAAGTGCCACTCTTCTGTTGCGCTTCTTCTTTTCCTCCATCATTTTGGTATCTTGCTGTACCGATGGAACGTTCTCCTATTTCTCCATCAGCTCTATTGGATCTAGTAGAATTCCTCTATCGACTATAGCTCCTTCTTCAAGTTGACCGCCAAGTAGGATTAGTTGTCTATAGACAGCATGCTTATTGTTCAGGCATAAGGTGAACTTCCTGTTGATAAGCGGATACAGTGATCTTATCAAGATGATGCACTTGGTGTTAGTTTTGTCAATGTGCTCCCTGAAAAGAAGCTTACTGTCTAGTGTTAGTCCGAGGTACACAACCTCTTTGGACCATTAAATTTTCACCACTGAGCCGTTTAAGCAGATCGTATTATTTTCAGAAAGAACTAGTCTTGGTGATTGGGAACGTGGAAATATGATGACCTAGGTCTTCACCGCGTTGATACGGAGCTTCCAGCTGTTGAAATACTCAGACAGGATATCCAAGCCTCTCTGAAGTTTAGCAGTATGAGCTCCGATGACGCTACCCTTGTAGACGGTGGATGTGGCATCTGCAAACAGAGATAAAGTTCCACCATCTGGCAGAGAAGAAATGTCGGAGGTGAACAAGTTGAAGAGGATGGGCCCAAGGATGCTTCCTTGCGGAACGACCGCAACAATGTTGAAGGAATCAGAAATGATGCCATTGAGAGAACCTTTGAGTGTTCTGTCTGATAGGTAATTTTGGATGCCCTTCACGATTGGAAGACCGTATCAAACTCTTTTTCAACATCTAACAATGTCATGGAAGATGTCTTAGACAGAGACTTATTCCGCCTGAGAATATTGCTTACTTGAGTCAGTTGGTGAATAGTCGACTGACCTTGCCAAAAACCAAACTGCTCCTCGAGTAAGATGTTATTTTCAACGGCAGATGTTAGAAGACGCCAGCAAATTGCTTTTTCAAGGAGCTTTGATAAGGATGGGTATGACTCAAGCTAACTTCCAGCAGGAGGGGAAGTAGCTAAGCCTCAGGTAATCATATAATCTAGAACTCATATGTTTGAGGTCTAGATTCAGCTGAGATCTCTGAAACTTCGGGGAAGTTGTTGGGAATCAAATCGAGGTTGGATGCCTTTTCGGCAACAGCAGCCTTATGTGGACTTATGATGTTTTGCCTGAGATTATGGGAGCTGACGAAGTGTAGGCGATTCACAGAAGCCTTCTGAACAGGAGTCATCAGATGAACAACTTAATTATCGGGACTATGTGGAGGAATGGATCCGGGCTTTTTTTTTTAAGATTCTGGTTAGCTTCCAGAAAGACTTTGCACAATCTGGCAGAGAACGGATCCTATTGGTAAAGTCGTTATTTCTGAGATCCACCATCCTGGCCTGAATGATCTTTGTTAATCGATTACAATGGGTCTTCAAGTTAGACATACCAGTAATGTCTACGAATGGTATTACGGTGTCTAATAAGGTCTTTAGTAGGGCTGTCACCTGTCTGTATACTGACACGTGTTTTTCCCTGGCTCGGGATATTGCCTCATCGATGGGTTGTAGACACCGGTCAAAGTCTTAAGACGCCTCCGGTTGGACATCGTAGTCGATGGTTGCGAGATGTGGGCCATGTTGCTGATGTAGATATCGATGGCGTGAGCACCTACTCTACCGGGTGGATGTGTCCGGACTCAAGATGTTGTACTGCACTTCCTGCAGGTCGTTGTTGTGGATTACTGATTATAAACTGGGCCGATGATGACATATCCGTTAATCCGAATAACACGATCAACAGCGCTGATTTCATTAACAGCTTGGACATCACTGCTACCACAATGTTAGTTCAATGACTTTTCTGTGTTCTGAATATTAACGGATCAAATTGATTGATTCCAGTGACACGAAATCCAGTTATCATGTTAGCGAATTTGACGGAGGTGTAATTCCCCAGCGCACAGACGTTGTAAGGAGTAATTGCCTGTCCTGAAAATTCAGAGTACAATTCATCAGTTACACCTGAAATTGTCCAAGTTCAGTTTACTAACCTGGATTTTCCATTAAGAAATGTCCGATCGCCGTTGCGTAATCCGACATTTAATGGTTGAATCTTGTACGATACATGGTTTGGAATTGAAACGAACCGAACAAAGTTCTTTTTAGCCTTTTCCAGCATCAGTACATTCCTCGTATGAGTGGAGTGTTCACCCAGTATAAGCAAACACAGACCCTTCAGACCAATGTTCATCCGTTGCCTAGCAGTGTTGGGAAAATATCAAAAAATCCAATCTCACCCACGCCCAAGATCACGCTTTATTTTCGTAGACAAAAATCAACAAGCAAACTACTGCGGTTGATTTTGCAAGCTGTGATATCGCAGCTCGGAATATCAAGCTAACAAAACTCACCAAACTGTGGTGAGATTGAGTTTAACCTCGAAATTTAAAGAGCACAAATAACAGATCCCACAAAAACACCCAACAATGAAACTGAAACTCCAAGATTGTTGCAATGCAGCAAAAAAGGAGTTCCAATTTCAACACCTTAGGCAATTCAAACTCTAGAACATCGAAATTTTCCTTGAAATTAAAATTACAAAACAATCCTCGGTTTAGCTAAATTTAAAATCCCAGACATGACCAAATATTATTGGGAATCCAAAAATAAAAAATCCCCTCCTCCTGTGCTTGAAATAATGGATTGAGAAAGGAGCTTAATTTTCATGATTTGTTAAGGGCACACACGGTGTATTTTGCAAGGAGACGTTCCACAACATGATGGAAGAAGTTTTTGCGGTTATTTTAAAATCAGAGTGACAGTCTATTTCCTGGTGCAACCATTCTTCCGTTATGATCCGTGTTATGGACAAACTGAGTATTAATTTCATAACTTCCCCGCTTCCTATCACCCCAAAACAGGGACACAAGCTGCACGTGTTCGACATCTCGCAGCAGGCCAAGGACAACCTGAAGGCCAAGGGTGCCGTCACGTACGACAACGTGTCGGAACTGGCCAAGGCTTCGGACTTTGTCGTCACCATGCTGCCCAATAACGATATCGTGGCCGATACCTACGACAGCATCCTGGCCGGCGGAGTCAACAGCAAGACTTTCTTCGTCGATTCCAGCACCATCGATCCGAATGTGGCCAAGGCCGTCCAGAAGAAGATCCAAGCTGCCGGAGCTACCTTCGTCGATGCCCCGGTATCCGGAGGAGTGCCCGGAGCTCAGAACGCCACGCTGACCTTCATGGTCGGAGGAACCCAGGAGGAGTACGAAACCGTCAAGGGCCTGCTGGAGGGTATGGGCAAGAAGATCACCCATTGCGGAAGCTACGGCATGGGACAGGCCGCCAAGGTGTGCAACAACATGATGCTCGGCATCTCCATGTGCGGTTTGGCTGAATGCATGAACTTGGCAATCAGGTAAGACGACTGGATTTCTCTGGATAGAGTGCTTCGGAAAACTAACATACTCTTCCCGTACAGACTCGGCTTGGACCCCAAAGTATTCGCTGACATCATCAACGCTTCCACCGGCCGCAGCTGGGCCTCGGAAATCAACAACCCCGTCCCCGGTGTGCTCCCGAACGCACCCGCTGCCAAGGAATACGCCGGAGGTTTCGCCACTGGTCTCATCACCAAGGATCTGGGAATCGCCTCGGCCGTTGCGACCACCACCAACACCCCGATCCCGTTGGGAGCTCTCACGCATCAAATCTACCGCACACTGATGGCCAAGGGACTGGCAAACAAGGACTTCTCCGTCGTGTACGATTTCATCAAGAACGACAAAGCTTAAAGTAGTGATCATTCATCCCCCAATGTTAAACGTAAACCAGCGACGTGGCCATAGGTCGTTCTTTCGGCAATAATCGTCTTCCAGAGCATGCATTTAATCTTGATGAGCTTGTATCCTCGCAGGAAAGGATACAAGGCGCAGGGTTTGTTTTATTATACAGTAAATATACGGTAACAGAGTGATACGTATTATCTACGAACTGGTTTCTGGCGCATTCACTGGTTCTGTACTGATGACATCCTGTTTATAGACATACTCCTTGGCGTACGATCGGTCAGCAGTATCGCAGCTTTGCTCGCACGTAAAAATGGTTAACGTTCCCCAATCGATATTTTCGTTTTTCAAACTGTTGAGCAGCTGTGGCATTATCTGAATCGATAGCAGGTTTGAATATTTCACTCATTACAACGGATATCCCATTCCGGTCAAAAGTCAAAATTAGCCATCTTTAAATTATCAGATGCCTCCCAATTTATCAACCCAACACATGTATCAAACAACATAAGTCACTTACCTGGAATTCAAAAACTCTCCGACCACCGCACAGTTCACAGCAAGGAATCTCACTGGGAACGACCGGTGATTGCCAAAGGGGATCCCCTTTTCGCTCATAACGAAGAACCTGTTCGGCGGGAAACAATTTTGTCACAACTGCTACTGCTCACACTATCCGGAGATATTCCATTCATACCTGATCCGGATCGAATGCAATCCTCTTCTTAAACTCATCAAAATGCCTATCTTCAACCTGCTCGGCATACGTATCCATTTCGTTTTCGGATACTTCGCTCAATTCTCCGATTTTCCCGTCCTTAACCAACTTCTCGTATTCTTCCATCTGCTTCTTGACGTTGTCTTCCTCGGAGAGCTTCTCCGTTGGTTCCTGAGTAAAGATAGTCCATTTAACATCCTACCTTCAATCGAGTTCAAATTCAAAGCTTACAATCTCCTCGGGTTCCATAACAATTTCAAATTGGGGAAACAGAATGTCCGAATCGGATCTCGTAATTTCTCCCGTTGTCCCACAGGCTGCCTTGTGGCCTTGCTTCCAGTCTATGCGCTGGTGAACTACACCGCAGTAGTTCATTTTCTTACACTTGGAGCAAAGCTGTGGCCCACGGCATCCGCAAACAGCGCACAGCGGTACCGGTGATGGAATCGCTTCCGAAGGTTCATTTTCATTCGGTGGATCAAAGTCATAGAAGTCGTTCCTCCGGGGCAACTGACTGCGGAGCACCTTGATGTTTCTGCGAAGATGTGGAATGTGGTATGATCCCGGAACCGAAACCAGAATTCCCAACAAGATACTCACTTATTTTGATTGGGCTGATAGCATGTTGCCTTTAGACACACAAACAAAAACAGCATTCGGTGGAAGCATCTCTCTTGCTCTTCGAGCGGAGCATAGACCTGCGAGGAAATATCGAAGCTGTATCGAAACAAAAATCACTCTAGAAAACTCGAAGTGGCAGTGAAGTGCCTATGATTTCTCGACGGTGGATCGTATCACCATAAAATCCTGGAAAGGAAACTCACCTGGCAGAGGAAAATACACGGCTCGCCACACTCATCGCACAGCAGATCCTTCGGGGATGGAATATTTTTCAGCTCCAACCAGGCCGGCTTACCGCCCACTTTACTACGGAAAAATTTGTTCGCCAGCAGCCACTCTTCACACGGTTCCAGGAAGCCCAAATCCACACTTGTTTCCATTGTACCTATATTTCTTGGGAAATATATCGGCAGAATGGTATGTATTCTGAGTAACGAGATGAAAGAAGATGTGAGTCTCCTCGGTGGTATCCTAAAATTTGTACGCGGTGCTATATCGCATGAAAGCAGATGTAAACAGAAGCACGTGCGCGGTTTAGTTTGGATTCGCTTGACAGTTCTCGAGTAACAGACTGGTCCAAAAATAACGCAAACCGTTTTAAAATTTCCTACGATTCAAAAATCATAATGCTAAAATCAAATAGCCGTATCTGCTTTTGTAAATAAAGATTCAAGCGTCAATGGGCTGATGGTTGAATGACACTTTTTAAACTATGACTACCAAGAATTGGCTAGAAATATAGTTTCGTCACTTCGTTTCCCTAATAAAAAAAAACATTCGAGCGATAACTCAAATGATAGAACTATACTATAACTGGTTTGGATGATATCCTGAACACGTCGTAAAGCAAAATAACTATTCAAATTTTATTGGGGCGGGTGATAAAGAAAACGAAGAAACGGAAAACGGTTACAACATTTTTGAAAGCTCCATATCTAACCTTCAAAGCAAAAATGCTGTCAATAATTCTTATGTTTATGTTTCATGCTGTGACATTGTTTACTTCTGCGGCTCGTTCTCTGCTGAATACACTAATAAAATTCCACACATTTTTATTGACGAATTTCCATGTGAAATTCCAAATGATTTTCATGTGACCACACATAAACAGAATCCACCCTGAAGCACACATTAGTTTATGAGTCAAATGAATAGTATGTGTGGTTACACATGGCTTTTATGTGTAAACATATTATGTATGTTTCCGACACATATATACACATAAAAAAAAGTTGTTGAATATTACATCCAAACTGCTGCAACCAGGTCAATCCATCGGTTGTGTAATAAAACGTTGTACGATGTACATCGATTTTGCGAACAAAATTACATCCATTGATGTAATATTGTATCTGTTTTTTGCTATTACATCATTATTTCATACATCAGCTTGAATTACAATGATCGATATTACATTTTTTGTTGTGTATCATTTGTTGATCACACTCAAAAACTATTGAAATCTAAATAGTATAAAAGTTACGCTAAATCGCAACTCTCCGTACCGACGCAAAGGTCGGAATGAAGGGACCCTAATAAAAATTGTATGGTTAATTTGCTTGACGACGTGTTCTGGGTATCATCCAAACCATTTGTGGAATAGTTCAATGATTTGGGTTGTCGTTCGTTTATGGTTATTTTTTATTAGGGGAGAGAATGCAAACTTAGTATAAAAATGGTTTATGCGTGCCATAGTATAAAATCGAAATATACTTACAATGCATAGGTACGGTTTATTCGAGAGAATGTATTTTTCGCTTCTTTATTTTATTTATGGTAAATATTATTGTTTTCAAATAAAAATAAAAATTGTCTCAGGAAGCTTTTTTAATTAGTTTATTTTTTATGAATATTATTTAAAAAAAATACTTACAATTTCGATGCTGTTAACGGCGTCAGTGGTCTAGTGGTAAGCGTGATTACCTCTCACCCCAGCAGGCCTGGGTTCATTCCCAGTCGGCGCCGCCGGGATGTTCTGAGGCATAACATCTCTGATCACGCCTTCCTTCGGATGGGAAGTAAAGCCGTTGGTCCCCGGTTCATAAGTTGATGGGTCGATAGGTACGGTCCAGGTGTGGGAGCTGCCTTCCTGGCACGTCAGTAGCATTGGTGCTCAGCACGGAAAACAAGATCGACGGAAAAAACAAAGGAAAAAAAAATTTCGATGCTGCCCAGCAGATCACAGGCGCAGTAGAAATCCGCCGGGACAAAGCTCTTCACCAGCACGAAGCTCCGAAGGGAATCCAGGTGTTCTTTTTCCTGTCATTTTAGTAAACACTGATCGAATTCCACTCCGATAATCGGACTTAGTATAGTTTTGAAGAAAATATTAATCGGACCCTGAGTTTTCATGAAGCTCGTTGAATTTTCTAGATGTTTACAAAACCTTTCCTAAATTTCGCTGCAGTTCCCTGAAGTTCACTAAACTTCTCTATATTACTCAACACTTTCTTGAGCCGAAGAACTTTTCTCAAAGTATCCTTAAACAAATTTTGGGAACTGCGTTGTGTAAGAATCCATTTCATTCGACCTCACACGGAGACCAAATTCGTTAAGTTAAGATAACAATCCTAATAGTTACTTTCACATGGAAAAGTATTGTTGTTTGAAAGAAACCTATAGTTATTCCAACATTAATTTGACCGTCAAATCAATCTTATCTACCTAATAGATTCAACTGTTCATCTTATACTCAATTCAACTATAATTTGATCAATTATAACAACCGTCAAATTAATTTATTTATATAATTTGGTTTCAAGTGATCATCATAAATCCACATACTTTTAACTTGTGATGCGTAGAGCAGGCCATAAGATAGCTGGCTCTCACGCAGATGAACACGGTTCAAATCTAAGTTGAATGTTCTTGTTCACTTTTTTATGATTTTGCAGTTGTGTTTTTGAGATCGATAAAGAAGCAAAACAAACTTTATTTAATATGTCGATAATGAAGAGCAGTTCGTTTAATGAACATTGTAAAATTTTGCTTTTCTAACAATAGTTTTCTTGAATCAACTAACGCATAGTTGTATTTTGAAGTTTGGCGTTTGTTCATCTACTGAAAAATATAGTTGAGCCAACCGAGGAGCCAACTATGGACTATAGTTGTTGCCCTCTATATATAGTCAAATCAACTATAGTTTCGGGTTATCTCTACCTCGATCTCTACAACAATTGAACAATATAGTTATTTTGACCGGAAAAATAATTGCGTCTGCTATAATTTGTTCTCCGTGCAAAGTCCAAATCCACTGAAGAGATGAACGAAGATGAAAAACGAAGACAGCTGTACCTGTACCATTTTTGCAGGTATCACTGAGAGAATTGTTCATATTTCGTTTATGTGTCACACACATAAATTTTTCGGATCACGAGCAAGAGACAATTTTGTCGGTACAAATTATCGCTATTAAGTGTTTATTTTTGCTATGTGCATGTTTAAACTGACAACAATGCGATCAGCAAGACTTACTAAATTTCACTACATAGATGTTTTCAATTTAAATACAAAAGAACTCCGAAAATGACTGACCAATTGCATTGGTGCATAGTATTTTCTTCAACATTTACTGTATTTTCAACAATACATTTCTTTGAATTGACTGATTCCGTGAATGGTATTTCTAAAAACAATTGGCTGTTTGCTGCATTTGTTTTAGTGTAGATAAGGGGACATCCGAGGGACATCTTCGTGAACTTATCATTTGCAAGGTGAATATATTTAAATATATCTCGATAGATTCAAATATATTCTGCCACGACAGCAAGCTGGTCTGTCTAATTGACATCAACCTTCTATGTAATTTGCTTGCGGGGGATACTGTACACTCATAAAATTTGACACATTTTTATTGGCGATTTTCCATATAAAACTCCACATGATTTTCATGTGTCCACACATAAACAAATCCACTCAGAAGTACACATGAAATTTATGAGCCAAATGAATAGTATGTGTGGTTACACATGAATTTGATGTGTACACATTGGAACTATGTGTCTGACACACATATATCATTTGTTTATCACATTGCAAAAATTCATGTGTGCGACACATAAAAGTAACCATTGAATTTTTATTAGTGTATTTATTTTCCAAGAGTGAGAGAAAAGGGAGAAAAGTGACCAATTTTGAGTTGGTCTGATCGACCGTGTACCTATTTGTGTTGTGATTTTTTAATGGCCCTGACGATACCGTCGCGAGCCAAAAATTGACAGCATCTCATGGGATTTTACCGGAATGATATGAGATTTGGGCGTAATGGCTTTTGTAAGCAAACACGTCTATCACCGATTTCGAAAAATGCCCAATATCGTTAACAAACTATACCAAAAGACAGATGAATCATTCCACTATCATTTGGTATGGTTTGTTTATGAGAGTAAGCCTTTATTTACGAGAAATCAGTAATTGAAGTGGTTGTTTACAAAAGTTATTACGCCCAAATCTCAAATCACTCCGACAGATACAAATAGCGAATTCGTTTATTATCGGGGTTAACACCAGTTCCAACCCAGTGCGAAACCGAACTTTTTGTCAGTGTAAACCTCAACCTGAGCTAGGTTTTAAAAACAAACGAGCAAACTGACGTTTGTCAGAAAACAAGCAGACCCAATCTTGATACCCGATCCAGGTTGGAACTGAATAATAAACGAATTCGCTAAAAGTCGCCGTCAACGCTCATGAATTTAAATAACACACACGGTAAGAAAAAAGTACCCAACGGCCAGTTCACTTTTACCTACTTTTGACAAGTTTGTCTCCTTTTCTCCTTCTAATGTTGTCAAAAACGGAGGAGCAAAACCACCCAACAGGGGTAGTAAAGTGTATGAACTCAACGTTGAGTATAATCATATTTACCTACTATTGGGTACAACTAACTTACTTTTGGTTAAAAAGCCAGTGGAAAATTCCATACGAACTGCACACAAGTAGGTAAATGAAAATTACTTTGACCCGCTTTACCTACTTTTGGGTTCCTGCACTATAGTGCCGAGATGAGTGAAAATAACTTAATTTTGGGTACTTTTTTCTAACCGTGCATGAACGTAAAGTCGAAAGACAATAATTCAAGCTAAACATTACATTAGGTCCTAAGTAACATTGATCAAGAGAATCGACTTTCTCTTTCGTTTATAACTTGAGCACAACACCGTTTCTTGCTGTGTTTGTCATAGTAGATGCTAGATAAAAGCTTCTTTTATCGATCTGTGTGCTGAAAATACCTGGGAATGTTTTTACATGGCCATGGGAATACAAAGAGAAAGTCGACGAAGAGAATCTGTCAATGTTACTAAGGACCTAATCTAATGTTCAGCTTGAATTATTGTTTACAAACAGCAGAGTGTTCCGGTTCCTTTACCGAGTTTTCGACAAAATCTATAAAATCTTTAATTATTGCGTGAATCTTTGGAGAAGCTTGCATCGCGCACCCCACGATGGCACCCATTTTTCGACTGGAAAAGTTCCCACACGTTTGCCGGCTGTGCCTGAAGGCATCCGACTCGCGACCGGAGGTGATGATTTCCCTCAGTGCGAAAGACCCCGTGCTGGATGACGAGAGTATTGGCGACTTCATCACTGCCATCACGTTTCTGATACCGGAGGTAAGTGTCGTTAGGTTTTATCTGGTATTATTAAATATAAAAATTTTACATACGACCCAATCAAAAAGGACTCCAGCAATGCTACCGACGCCAGGTCCCACACCTGGATTCTACCTACCTAAATTCTCTGGTGATGCGACGCATGAAGGGGGTTTGCCCAAGTCAGAAACTAGACGGTAGCGCCTAACATGTCCAGATGAAAAAAAATGTGGTCATGAGAACTGAATACGACTACCGTTGAACATGTTTTAGAATTCGCAAATGCAAATCTGAGATTTTTTTGAATTTCACATAGACCTCGATACCTAATGGCTTAATAGAGATGAACTAGCCAACGGCTAAAAATCTCTCTAATAAAGTTTAAAAAAAAAAACCTAATGGCTTAAGCAGGTCAAAACTAATCTTTTCGGTATAACTAAAACTTCCACGTAGGAACTAAAAATTTGCAGGGTTTCGCGCGTTTTATAGGGTACCAGTTATGGCCATACATTCCTATTATAGTGTGTTCCAATTATGGCCTATGGGAATTCCATAGGCCAAAACTGGAACACACCATAATAGGAATGTATGGCCATAACTGGTACATCTACCCTATTTAAAATCCAAACAATTTTTCCGCACCATCAGGAATTGTTGGGTGGCAAATGCCACCTTTACCACCAGCTGAGTACTGTGTTGAGTGATGTTGTAGTAGTATCTTAATATCAAAGGTCATACATATTATTTCCTGTGCAGGGTAGATGTACCATAGGCCATAACTGGAACACACCATAATAGGAACGTATGCCTATTAATAATATGAATTAATCATATATCACGTGAAATGTGTACAGAATTTAAGCAACCGAGGACTTTTGTTGTTGTTGAAGTGTGGCAACTGTTGTTCTTGGGAAGAAAATTTACAATGAATATTTCTAAAAAGTAAGTCCTAATCTACTAAACCTAAATTTCTCGTATATGAAGCTTAACCTGTCCATGACCGGTTAATACTAGATCTTCCACCACTGAAAGCCCCGTTCCCAAGCACCAACTGAATGTGATGCCGTCCAAAATACCTCGACCCGGCTCGCGCAAAGAAAGGCCGCCATCCCACTCTCGGAAACCATCCTTAGCTGTTCCTGTCATTTTTGATATGGACGGTCACGGGATGATGAAAACCCCTCCCAAAGGCCAAGTCGTTGCAGTGCAAAAGGACTCCAGGAAAGAACCGATACCGGAACTGGTTGAATCGGTCGAAGACATTTTAAGTGAAGACATCGAACCATTGCCCATTTCCGATGGCCATTTGTTAAGGCAATGCATTATGTTTTGTTTTGCTTAGTGGCGATACTATAACGGCGATTAAACTTTCAGACAAGTCAGCCAGGATATCCTGCGGGGAGATGGGGGAAATAGTTCCAACGAAAGCAATCTGGAGAGTCAACCCATATTTACTTATATCCACAGCGAAGGAAACGTGCCAGATAGTTCAACCAACTATGAGGGTGGTCATCTGAGGAAGCTCGACAGCCGGTCGGCTGAACGGGGCTTTAAATGGGCGGCTTTTTGCTATGTGTTTATGGCACTGATGATTGTGTTCGTGCTTGCCATTATGTTGCTGGCCAATTATGACCAATTGGTGGCCACTTGGTATGGGTACAGTACAAATTGAAAACTGGTAAATTTTCCTGGATGGGAATTCGAAATTTTAATTGTGTTGGGTGAATTGAACGAAGAGTCTTGAAGTACCCTGAATGGTTCAAAATTTATTTAATATTGACATTATTTGTGTTCTGAATGTATTTTAATAAAAAAAAATTGATTCCATTCGAGTCACAAACGGGTCGACAGAACGGATGTCTGATTCGCAAACGATTTTTCCGACTTTAAATGATGTTTATTTCTTGTATTTGTGTGATTTACATGTATGAATTATGAACACGCAACCGTCTTCAAGGAGAGGAATGTCGGAAGTGTAGATGCTGTAAAGCAAAGGGCCCAACAGACTTCCTTGCAGAACACCTGCTGGGATGGAGAACGTGTTTGAAAGGCAGCCATTCAACGATACCCTGAACGACCTTTGCTGAAGGTAGTTACGGGTGATTTTAACCAGATGTAATGGGAAGTTGAAGTTACAAAGCTTGTTCAAGTTCGTCATGCCAGGCATTGTCAAACCACAGACAAACAGACGTAACTCTTTGAAAAAGTTTTTCTTGAAAACAGTATCTCAAAACATAGGTCCTCAGTAACGACATCTCTCTGGCTTCTCGCGGAAAACAAGCTTGCTCGCTAAATCGTAAACAATATTGCATAAAAGTTCTATAGAATGTATAGAAACGTCAAAGTGATCCGATGCCAGCGCTGCGGCGAGTAGTTCGCGGAACTGATAATATTCAAATCAACCGTTACATACGTGAGCGAAGATACACAATGAAGTGTTACGTCTGTTTGTCTGTGGTCAAATGCTTTCTCAACGTCTAACAATGCCATGGCTGTGGGACAATGTTGGGTCCTTCCCGGGTTTGTGGATAGGTATGATTTTCGCTGTCTTCCAGATGCTCTGAAAGCAGTGCAGTTGCAAGCATCTGTTAAAGACAGCGGCCAGCAGAGAGTGAGCTGCGGTTTTTCAACACTAAGTTGAATATTCCGTCGAACCGGGTGCATTGAAATGCGCTGAAGCGTTGAGCAAATCTGTTCCACTGAGATGCTATCCTCCGGAGAGATAGCACAAAGGGAGGAATCAAGGTTGAGTACGCATTGCGCAACCTGATCTTCGAGCGGACTTTGGATGTTGGAGCCAAGCAAGTGCGATTTGGTAATATGCTCACCAATCGCATTTGCTTTCTCCTGAGGGGTGATTATGAGCCGATCGTCATCATATTCATCTTTGAGTGGTGGAATGGGTTTGGGTGCGTCTTTAGGGACTTGGCAACCTTCCAGAATGGTCTGGAACGGTTGTCCAGATTCTGATGTTCAGATTGACCATTTCATGTTTCCTCGCTAGATCTCCGGGAACTGGCGTAAACGAACATTTCTCTGGCGAATCAAGGGTTGGGTGTGGGAATCAACGACAATAAACTCAGCCATAACCGTGCTTGGTGGAGTCCCTCCAACGCTCGGTCGATGTCCTTCACGGAGTCAAGCGGCGGGTTGTCGATGATGTGCCTGTCTACCATGCGCTTGGAGCAGGAGCCACGTTGCAGCCCTGTTAACCCACAAGAGAGCTGAGTTCGTTCAAGGCCGGTGAAATGAATGTTGGCTCGTCCGAGAACCAAACGGAGTACAATCCATGTTGCGAGTGGTCGAACAGCAGACGACCGTTCTGGTTCTGCTGGTAGTTCTTGAATTTAACCGCTAGTCCACTGCTGGCGGCACACTGTCGAGGGCAGTAGACGACGATGAACTTGATATATCCAGTCGACGACTCCACCTCCACAACAAGGGCCCCGATGATAGAGGTGCGGATATGAGACAGACTGCGGTATTGTATACCTTTCGACGATGATCGCAATATCACCCCCTGGTGCTGATACGATCAAGTTGAATTACTATATGTTGTGGTCCGGCAACCAGCAACTGTCGCCGAACTTGAGGTGGGTCTCGGTGAGGAGGCCGACGTCGATGATGCTTGCTTTTAAGGAGCAAGCGTTCCAGGTGACGATAGTTAGCGGTTTAGACGCCATACTGGATGGTGAACTTACCGAGGACTTGGATCTGCTCGGGCATATTGTGACACTTACCAAGAGCACCGGTCATTCCATTCCGAACGTTTCCATCAGTTCATCCGCTGAGAACAGATCGGGGTGTTGTGTTGCACTGTTGGTTGTCTTCAGAATCCAGGGGGTTGGAGATGGTTGTCCAGTAGTATCACCGGGAGCTTCTTGACGGAGGCCAGATCGCACCAGTGAATTCGCTTGACCACGAAGAGGCGGAAAATCGTCGGCCCTAAAAGCCGCGGCCTTATTATTCCTTCGTGCTGGTTTGCTTGTTGTGGAGGTCTGTTTTCGGATGTGCTTGAAATCCTCACGTTTAGGGCACAGCTTGCCGGATCCTTGGTGAGCACCACCACAGTTCATTCGTAGGTGGCGTTCAGCGCGTTGAGGGTCACCGTTTCCTTCTGGAAGTGTACCAGGAAAAGGCAATCAGTCTCGATAAACTTTGGGTCGAAGTTCGGTAGGCCTCTGATGACGAGGTTTTGATACAGATGTCATTCTTGCCGTCATCGCAAGGAATCGATTATACTTGAAAGGTCCCGCTATTTATATCCTTCAAAGAGTGAGAGCACCCTCCAAAGGCGCGCCCCTTTGTCAGTCAAAATTGGATTCCTTAGCATCAAAATTGAGCAATGACACCGACAATGACCATGCATCAGAACCCTAGTCTTAACCACTTCAAACTAGAGAACAACGAATAGAAGATTAGGAATCGCATACACTCAAAGAATAATCACATATCCAATGGAAAATATTCATTAGAATTTCACTTAACTTTCATGTGATTTCATTATTGGGAATTGCACCACAAAATCACATGAACCTTATGTGTCAAATGAAATTTAAGTGATTTATCATATAGAACTCATGTGATCACATGAATGTTATGTGAAATTCAGATAGATATCATTGGTTTTATTAATGGAAAAATATTATGTGCATTCCCAATGGAAACTACATGAAAACTTTTTTCCGTGCAGATGAAGACTAACTAACTCATTTTTGCCTTGTTTCAAGGTCATCCTCGGTGGACAAAGCCGAGTCACTATCAACAAGGCATAAAAAGTAACAAGGACTAAGATGTGTTCCTTTGATTACTGAAAAATCCTGTTCCACCAGTTTGAAGTGGTCAGGACTAGAAATCGGTGGTAGATCTTACATCCCGTAACGTACCACGAAAAGATTATCTATCCACGTTACGGGGCATTCTGTGGATATTCAGGTCGATTAAAGATTCTCTTCTTTCACACACATTTTCTGTTTATTCAACCACAGGACAAAAACGATCTCCTACCGAACATGGTCTGTCTGCCTTGTCTAGAACTGCTGAGATTCTTCGCCAAGTACCGCTCCAAGATCACCACGATCCAGCTCCTGATGAACTCGTTGGTCGAACTGAAGCGGGCCAATTCAGTACCGCTTATGGATCTCTTCAGCAGTAAAGCCAAATTTGTACGAATGGTGTTCAAAGACCTTGACCTGTGCACCGTAGATGATTATTCCGTTCAGGATTTGTTGGACGAATTTCCACAGTACGAAGATAATGCACCCCTTGCAGAGCATGTCAAAGTGCAAGTCAATGACTTGGAAGACGTGAACCCAGATTCGGACACCGAGGAATGTCACAGTACCTTCGACGAATTGAACGAGTCATCAAAAGGTTTTCCTGTACTGTTGGAGACGGACAGTTCTGATGATTACCCTATTTTAAAGAAAATGAAACTCCCGGTTAAATCCAAGCTCGAGGGCACAACACTAGACCCGCCACTAAAATGTCAAAAATGCAACTTCAAGACGTACAACAAGCATAATTTACAGACACACCAAAAGATACACGTCAAGCGGGAAACTCGCCGATATCCTTGCAAGGATCCAGGTTGTACGGAGGTTTTCAAAACCATCCGAATGTACCGACGACACAGTTTGATGGCGCACAAAGCGTTCGTCTGTGACATCTGTGGACTTCGGTGCTCTTCGAAAACCTACTTGAAAAGTCACATGGCTCGTCACTTGAACAAATTCGAACACGTGTGTCCCTACTGTCAAAAGGGACACAACGCAAAGAGCGATCTGCGCAACCACATCGCATGGAATCACACGAACGAACGCAAATATCCTTGCGAAATCTGTGGGCTGATCTTCCGGAGGAAACCCATTCTTGATGAGCATATACTCACGCACAGCGATACGCTCAACTATGCCTGTACAATCTGCGGCAAGAAATTCAGAAGAAACCAGAACCTCAAGAAGCACATCAAAGTTGTGCACGATATGGTTCGACTTCAGTGCAGCTACTGTCCCAATACCTTCCAAACTACGTACAAACTGAAGGATCACATCGAAAGTGTTCATGGGGTATGTATGGAAACCAATTGCCCTATGTTAACAATGTTAACGAGAATTTTTACAGATTCAAACCAGATTTCTGTGCGACATATGTGTCCAATTGTTCGACAGCCAGGAGAAATTGGACATCCATAGGGTCCGCCACGATAATCCTAATGAACTTGAGTGTCCAACCTGTTTGGTTCTGTTTCCGTCTGGTGACCGGCTTGGAAACCATATGTGCATAACTTATCGGTAAGTTCGTATTATCTATTTCCAATTCATCTAAGCATGTTTCACCCACCAACAGAGATGACTACGTGTGTTGCGGCCGTGACTTCCGGTACCATTACTTCTACAACAAGCACATGCTCATCAAACATGGCGTCCGTGCAAACGTTCGTGTGAGACCCATTCCTGGGGTACTGGTGGGGCAGATGAGAGCCAAAAGGGTAATTTACACGGAATGGCAAACAGAGTTGGTACGAGTGAAGGAATTTACGGTGAATTTTGTTTTGCAGAAGCGCATCGAGGCTTGTACCAAGTGTGAGAAAATATTGGCCACCAGAACACTGAAAAAACAGCACATGGTAATCTGCACTGGTCCCAAAGGAGATGACTCAACTCTAAAAGTGAAGCCAGAACCGGTTTCTTCCATTGACGATCAAGCCGAATCTGTTATCGAATGACCGTTGAAATTGAGTGAATAAAGCTGAATGGTATTTTATTCTTGGTTGATTAATAAGGTTCATTTTCAGAAGCTCTAGAAATTTCCGAAACTAAAGTAGAACCAGCAGCATTTCTGGAAGTTTCGGTACACAGATTATTTCCGAAAGCCTTGAAAAAAAAAATCCAAGAACTGTCGGACTTAGAGAACTGCAAGTTTCCGGCGCTTCGGCAGTTCTCGGAATTTCAAAATTTAATGGAGTTTCGATATTGTTTAAGTTCGGAGTTCTATACTGCCGCTCTTCGCTTGTCGGTTCCATAGTCATTTTGGTCAAAACTGAGCTTTTCAATGCAAATGGTAGCTAATCGCCCATTTATTATAATACTGGATGAACTCAACAACTTTGTTCAGAAAGTTTGGAAAGGCAGTCAAATGTATTGTCCCATCACATAAGGAACAATGGTACGAAGCAAACTTAAAACGCGATTTTTTCGGCTTGCTGATTTTAGCTATGGGAAATGTGAATACTCAATAATTACCGAGGAATCACCGAGGACTAATCACACGGAAGCACGTCTTACCGTCTCAGAAGCTGCAAGTGGAGTATGCAGAGACAATGGCGGTACCAACGATCATATTCATCTACACAGAAACAAAATCTATTGGCAAAAATACTATATTGGTGGTTTAAATTAAATACTCCCACCAATAGATTTGTGCAGAAACGAAATTCATTTAATTTTACTATTTTTTCTATCAAAACTACTATGCCGTTTGAGTAAGCATAGTAGTTTTGACAGAATGGTAGTAAATTTGATTATATTTTTAGTCAACTATACTGAAATTATGGTAGATTTAACGGCATTAAGCGTAGTTATATTGAAAATAAGTGTTTTCTGCAAAATAATATTCCTAACTATGGTCTTTGTTTCAGTGTAGCTACACACTTAATCTAGCTCGGTAAAATCTCCAACAGCCGATTACCTCGGCATTTACTTTTGCTGATATCTCTGCAAAATATCTATTTGTTAGCTGCTATCTCAGCAAAATCTTATTTGTTAGCTGAGTCTCGGCAATTGTTTTACTGAATCTCAACAAAATAAATTGCAGAACTACTCGGCGAAAAAAATTAAGTGTGTACGAGGCGAACAGGGAGATGCGCTGGATGACTTCACCCGAGTTTAGCACATGTTACACTACAGTATTTATGCACCACACAGGAAAGCCATGCGAATAGCGGCAGTATTAGGTACTGCAGCGTGACGTCACAAATGAACTCAGTGTTAATAGGCTGAACCTTTTTGACAGTTCAGTGGTACTGTTTACAAGCACTTAGTCGTTTTTTCGAAAAAAAAAATTCTAAAATTTCCGAATTTTAACTTGAAAATTGTCGAGGAACAGCGCGGTGAAAAGATGTTGCTCGTGGACAATGCAGAAGTGTGGTTTACATCTCACTGCAGTCTGAAAAATTATCGAGAAAATCTACCCAAGAAAAAAACGACTAAGTCCACGTAAACAGTACCACTGAACTGTCATCAGATTGAGGTTAACCCCGACGGTGCAAAACCTAATAGACCTATTATATGTATAAAAGCTCACTATTGTTGTTTATTGTTGTTTTACATCAACAGGCTGGATGAAGCCCCAATTAACCTTATCAACTATAGTAAAAAGTAGAAGAGTCTGTGCCTAGGTGCACGAGCGGAAGCTTGACGTAGGACCGCTAGTGGACGGAACACATATGTTGAGCCTTTAGTTCTTTTAATTGATCGATAATCTATTATCTTAACTCTTTCCGTTTTTGAATTGGTGGCCCTGAAAATGGCCGAGTTTTTTTTCAAATGGTGGCCCTGTTGTTATTTCCTGGTGCCCATCGAAAGAGTTGTTGGAGTTGGAGGGTACGGAATGAATAGGTACTAATCGCTGTTGCCTTTTGGCGCTCCTTTTATTTGTTGGTATTGCCTATTTGTTGATATTGCTGTTGTATTTGCTTCAGGGGATGAAAAACTAACACGAAATACATAAACGTGCTACCAATTGAGGTCTACGGGAATGTTAAGAGCTGGATGATTTACGCAAGTTTATTCTCTTACGGAGACTCAATGACCTAAAGCTGATAGTGATGTTCCGAACAATGCTATTGGCACTGATTGATGATTCAGTGCTGTTATTTCTCTCTGCGGTTCAGAAATATTCAATTTTGTGAACCTGTTAAACCCACCATCTAGAGATCTTAAAAGAAGTTCTATAGCGTAGAAATATAGTGGCCCTGAAAAAGGCCATTTGGAATCCAAGAGATTTACATGCTGGTACTTTTGGGATGGCGTGGTTGAAATTTTGCAGGTGATCAATGTTGTAGTCAGCCTAACGGAACTACTGCAGTGGAACTTCCGAAAGATTGTGAAACTACACAGAGAGCCTCCAATATCCGCGTGCTTCAGGGTCCTACCAAATTTGTGGTAACCATTTCCATCGCAAATGAAACTGCCATTTTGGATCGAAGCAAATAAGCTGGTGTACTTGGGTATCTCCATGGACAGCGTACTCAGGCTCTGAACCATTTGGTGGATTATTTTAACTTTTGGTCAGCGCTGCCATTTATACAGATTTATCTGTATTATACAGATTTTTTAATCTTAATACAGACCCGATACAGAATACAGATTTATCACAGATTTTTAAATTACAATAGATTTATACAGATTTTTATAAAATGCTTGAGAAAAAAAATTCAATATTTATAAAAACAAAATAACTTTTTTGATTGTATGGGGATTTACAGTATTAATTGAATATTTCCAATATAAGCATGTATGTTAAATACAAGAAAAGTGCGCGAGCACATTAAAATGGTACAAATACAAGTACTCGTAAACATTTTACTTGCATTGAAAATGTATTTCGTAAGAAATTGCGGATTTTCTGATATTCTCCATACTGCAAAAATGATTTTACCAGCACTGGCGGGGCGACATCTCTCGACTTTTCGGTGTAACTACCACACAAATGATGTAATTAATTGTATTCATCTATATTAAAAATATCAAATAGTAATGAACTCGTGCACTTTTTTGCATTTAAAACTGCTTATCAGGAAGATAATGAATATAAACTAAAATCTCCATACATTTTCAAACGGCTTCATATCACTCTTATAAATAAGTACGGACGATATCACAAATGGCGCAATTATATCCCGTATGGTTAATACGATAGCCCGAATAGGTGGTTAAGCACTTTTTATGGTTATTTTGTATGCACTGTATTTGTAAAACAACAAAACATTATTAATTAAGAAAAAAATCGTCAATACAGAAAATACAGATTTTTTAATAGAGTGGATACAGATTTTTTATAAAACCACCTGGCAGCTCTGCTTTTGGTTAAAATTTGACAGATGAAAAGTTATCGATTAACCCTGCTATCCGAGCATGGTTATTTCTGACAGACAAGAAGTTAAATTTTGACAACCGTGGCTCGAAAACCGGTCGATCAACAGCACGGGGATTTTCGAACATAGAAAATAACTTTCGAAATGTCACTTTTAACCACGAGTTAAATTTAACTCGGCAAATGGTTCACAGCCTCAGTTGACTTTCCTAGCAGCAGCATACCACCGACAAACCGACATGACACTTAATTCTAACTTATGCCCGAAAATCGTAAACGGTTGATATAAATGTGCAGTGATCCGAACTGTCAAAACCATAGGATTTTTTGATCTAGATAAAAATAATTTGTCCAGAATAGATCAGACACGGACCGATTCAAAACTGTTGCATGCGGGTTCATGGCTTAGCTAAATATTTCCCGCGAACATGGAGCCAGATGTCAGTAGTGTGCTTTGGTCAGAAATTTTATTGCTTTTGCTATGGTCATTCATGTCGGTTTGTCGGTGAGCATACCGCAGGTTATCCTTGAGTAACGTTTGAAGCACAAACGAAGTGACAGACGACTAACTGGCGAAGAAATCCATTAAAATAATGTGGTTCACTGTAATAGAATTTTCTTGGAAGCTTGTGCCATCATCCACCAGATGGGTTAGTTTTTTTGTTTTGATTTGAATAAAGTTGATTTTGTGTACAATGATTCTTTGACAGTGTGCAAAGAGTGTATCATTTTGTCATTTTTTATGCATTTCAGTTTTGAGTAGAGTGAAAGAGATAGAACCAAAACATTCTAATACATTTGGTGAAAATGCTAGTACAATCCAGTAGTAGCATAGAGGTAACTCTAAGACAAGTAGGTCCCGAAGAAACGTGCTCAACTTTTTGGCTCACCTCTGGTACTCTCTTCGGTCCCAAGCTAAACGATTCACCCCTCGAAACATAGGAAAAACCAATAACCCCTCATTTTATCTGTCAAACTTTCATAGCGAATCAAAACAAACATTGCGTAGTACTAGAATTTCGACTAGAATAGGGTACGTTAATCGTTTGCTTGGGACCAATAGGCTACTAAAGTGGTGAGCCAATTTAAAATCGTTAGTTTCGTATTGATTGTTGGTAGTAGTGTTGCCATGTGGTACACTGAAAAATTGAAATAGCAGGTTAGTCAGCACAGTTTTCGAGCCGCTCCGTCTGTCACTTCGTTTGTGGTTTGAAGTATGTCGTTGCCGTTGGTAATTCTTCTCATTCCGATGTCCGCGTCCACTTTGTGGGTCTTTCAAATTAGTTGTGACGTGTGTCCCCACAGCTACTGTGTTACCTGACTTATAACGAATATACGTTGTATGCGAGTACCCCGAATACAACGTATGACTCGTCTAATTTTGCATAGCATTTGCAATGTAAAATTAGACCAACTATACGTTGTATGCGGGGTACTCGTATACAACGTATATTCGTTATAAGTCAGGTAACACAGTAGGAATTGCAACTGATGACGTTCACTGAATTACAGTCTGTTTTATACTTGCAAAATAGCTAATTAGGCCCCTTCCTTTTGGAGTATTTTTCGTCAGAGCGTTCCTAGTTGTAATTATATGGCAGCATTCACACCAGACCAAGACGTGCTCCGACCAGCAATGAATTGGATTGTTGTGAAAGA